GACGATCAAGTCAATTATCTCTCAAAGATAGCAAAAGTTCTTAACTCACTATTCAGTGCATAAAAAACATACCTTAGACCCATGGGGGTGCCTCTCTTTTATAGCCAACACTTACCTAGTCCCAATAAAAGCCTAGCTTCAACGGACTTAGGATTACTGCTAATCTTGGACTCTCAGTAAGATTGAGATAAACTCTCTAAGAGTTTTATCTTTACCCAAACTGAAATCATATCTCATTCTAGGATTCTTGTCCCTTATCCGCTTATCCTGGATTCTGGTATCTTCGCAAATAACCTTGGCCTAGCCGAGATGATCTCGGCGTCATAACCAGGACACGTGACACCTCAGCTGACACTTCGGCCACGTGTTGTCATTCAAAAATTATGTCCTCACAACTTCTATGGTATTAAATTTTTTTTATGTATAATATATATACATATATATATATATATATATCATATTATACATACATGTGTGTTTTGTGTATATGGTGCAAACAATTATTTTTCTTTTGGCCCCTCCGATAATAAAATCCTGGTTCCGTCCCTGCGGGTCGGTGTGGCGGAGAATGAGGGATGCTACAAATTAGGGTGATCGTGGATCAAGTGAAGTCGGATGATATTTTATCTATCATTCGTGTAGAGTTATACGAACTGAAAAAAAAAATAATCTGCATCCTGCCCATTAGTTTGGCGGATACAAATTGAGCATATTATGTGAATTGATGGATGAATAAAATCGGTTTAGCGATTTTAACTTTACAAATTTTGAGTATTTTTTCGCATTATAACTCATTACCTTTACAATCTCTAATAATTGATAATCAGAAGAAATATGTATTATTTATCCATAATAGGTTATGGTAGCATGCATTTTTTTAATATATTCTTTTTTTATTTTTACAAAAACATATATTTTATTATTTATACTCTATATTGTTACTTGTTAGCAAATTTTTTCAAATTATAACTCATTACTTTTATAATATCCAATAATTAGTAATCAGAAAAAAAAAATATATTATTTGTCTATAATAGGTCATGGTAGCATGCATATTTTTAACACATTCTTTTTTTATTTTTACAAAAATATATATTTTATTATTTATACTCTATATTGTTACTTGTTTGTAATTTTTTTTTTTTAAATTTCATCTACGAATGAATTGGATTCATGTAGATGTGCAATGGTTGATCTATCATTTGAATCGTATCTACAGATTTTAAAATATTTTATCTACATTCATCCATCGAAAAACACGCATCTGTCTAAAATAAGTCAAGTTGGATCAGACTGGGCAGGGGAAGCGGGTGAAGCGAATCCATGATCACCCCTACTACAAATCCATAAAAATATACTCAGAATTTATCCAAAAACATTAACATGTGGTTTAAATTAATTCTACACATGAACCCCACAATCAGGGACGATACCAGAATTTTTGTCTGGGAGAGGCCAACGTATGCGTAAAAAATACTAAGTTAGTTTTTATACATTACTAATTGAACATAATTTCTTATATAAATATTGTGAGAAAACTAAATAAATCCAAGGCCTCTTTTAGGAACCAGTTTATAAGTTAGTTTATTAATTTATTTGAGTCACATTACCTTTTTATTTTTTGCATATTTTTTCATAATAAGCACAAAAAAAAAAAAAACTAACTTATAAGCCACTTTCCAAAAAAACCCTAAGAAATAGTTTTTTAGTTTTTAAAAGTTTTGAAATATTAATTAGATCTCAATATACAATCAGAACCACTATTATAAGTTATTTCATTGATTGATATAATTTAGTAAATAAAAAATGTAAAATACTAAAAACCCGTAAAACATGATCGTAAAACATGATCATGAAATTTATACTCAATGGTGTTAAATGCTACATGTCAGTTGATTTGTTTAGAAATTAATTAGCTAAGACCCAATGCCTGTCATGTCATTGTGGATAAATTTAAGTTTTAGATTTTCTAACATTACTCATGAAAAAATATACATACTGTTGGTACAGTTTGTTCCAATGAACCGGGTCGAACTGATCCACACTCCTCATGCCTATGTCCGAATGACCAAGACCACCGGAAGACCTGCACACGAGTTCAACGGGGAATGGGGAGTCCCCCGGCGAACCCTCCAACGAGCAAGTTAGAAAAAGGAGTGGAGTATATAGCGAGATTAAAGATAGAAAACTTAACTTTCTTCTTGTCTTCAACGTCTACTTGTATCCTCTGGTAATCATTTCGTTGTCCCTTCCGATCTGTCACCTTGGCCGAAAGTCTATGCTGTAGCTTACCTTATTCAGGGTGAGGGCGTGCTGTCCCGACGGAGAGGGGTTATCGCAATAAATGCTGTAAGGGGCCTCATTAATGGCGATGTGGTGTAGCAATAACTTTGCAGATCTTTGTCTGCTGATGGGGCTTGCCCTTCTCTTGCCATGTGTCTTGATGCCATTGGTTCTTATTGCTATGTGGGGCTTCAGTGGTGCTGGGCTTCATTAATTGGATTATGTATTGAGCCCTAAGTGGTGGGCTTGGGTTGTTCATAGTGGGCTGTAGCCTTTATGGGTCTACCCACGCCACATACCATTAAAAAAAAAAATTAAAAAAAAAGTGATATGTACCTATTGTATTAATAAAATTGACGTTATTATTTATAGTGTGAAATAATTAAATATCATTTAGCCTTCGTTTGGGAAGTGGGTTGGCTTTTTAATTTTTTTGACTATTTTAACCTGGACTAAAAAGTCTGATTTGGGAAGAACTTTTTGATTTTTCGAACTTTTTGACTTTTTGGTGAGGTGTCCATATGTAATATTACTAAACTGCACCTGGTACTAAATTTTATTTTTATTTCGGCGGTTGTCCATTGTACTGTGACGTCACCAACCCAGGCTAAGTTTTTTTTTTTTTTTTTACAAATGGTTTTTTCATGTGGTTTTTATTTGGTTGGCTTTTTGGCTTTTTTGGCTATTTTAGCCTGGGCTAAAAAACCTGGTTTGGGAAGGGCTTTTTGGCTTTTTGACTTTTTGGTGATGTGTCTTTCTATTCAATTACAAAACTGCCCCTTATGTTCAATTTGTACCTATGGCAATGAAAGTGGTCCTCCACGTCAGCCTCCGTGGAGGACCGAATTTGGACAATTTTTTTTTAAATTTTAAATAATTTAAATAATGTTACTATTAAATAATGTTAATATTGGATAATTTAAATAATGTTCAATTTAAATAATTTAAAATATTAATATTTTTAATGTTTTATTTTAATTTTATTTTAAATTTAATTTTAATTTTATTTTAAATATTTAAATAATGTAAATAATCTAAAAAATTTAATAAGTAAAAAATTAAAATAAATATTCAAAAAATTTAAATCGTAAAAGTTTAAATAATTTAAATATTCAAAAAATTATTTTAACAAAAAAATTTAAATAATTTAAATATTCAAAAAATTTAAATAATTCAAAATGTTAATATTTTAAATTTAAAAACAACTCTACACTCAAGTCGTAACCAAACACATAAAATGAAACTCAATTAATAAATTATTGAGGTAACTCATAACCAAACACATAACTCGAAATTCCATACTACTTTCACAACTCTACAATCAAATCATAACCAAATACAAAATAATAAAAAAAATTATTTAAAAATATTTTTATCAAATATAGTTTAAATTTATTTTCATAAAATATTTTAACAAAAAACAAAAAAAATGTTTTTATTTTTTTTTTTCCAACTTTCTTTGTCTTTCCTGGTAAAAAGCCTGATTTGATTTTTTTTTTTTACTTTGCCGCCCCTCTTTCATGTGGGGGTAGTATGGTAAATTTACTTGTCAAATTGTTGCAACCATGCTCCTAACTTTCTTTTGTCTGTTTGTGGCTAAATTAGTCACTTTTGCCATTTAGTAGCTAATTTAGCCCAAACCCAACTTCCCAAACGCAGCCTTTAATTACACATTATGAAATACTAGTGAAATAAAAAGTTAATAAAGTAATTTTCATAAAACTAAAGTTATATACTTTTATAAATAGTCATAGATATAATTAATAATAAATTGTCAAAATTTGGAGCGGTCGCGATCCCTCCCAGCCCCTGCATAGTTTTATCTCAGTCTCTAATTCTTTACATATTTTTTCATAATAATCTAACAAACACAAAAAAAAAAAGAAAAGAAAAGTCACTTCCCAAAATAAATCACTGACACAAAAAAAAAAAAAAAGTCACTTCCCAAAATAAATCACTGTTTTGACATTTTTGTAGTGTGAGATTTTAGATTTGAATTTTATATTGCACCTGATATATGTTTTGGATTTAAATAAAAAGGAGTGTGATGTTGTGATATTGTTTGTTTCTTTTCCATTATATGAGTTGTTGTGGCCCTCTATGTATATAATTTATGAAAAGATTAAATCGGTTACAAAATTGTAATATTTTTTATTTTATTATATCATAATAAAATAAAAAATTATGATTATCAAGCCAATCATAAATTTTTTTATTAAATTATACATACAGAAGGTCTTATAAAATAAATAATTCAAATCAAAACAAAATCTATAATAAATTTAATAAACTCCTTAAATTTTTTTAAATTAAGGGACACTAACTAAATCTTATAAATTTATGATTTTAGTGTATTTTATTGAAAAATAAGGGGTTATTTGAAATGATCTAAATAAGTGTACTTTTTAATTTTTTATGAAATATGGATTGAGTATGGATTGCGTTTTTAACTTTTTATGAAATATGAATTGGGTATGAGTTGTCTTTGAAGTGATGTTAGGTGATATGATTTAAATAAGATGATACGACTTAAATAAGATAATGACTTTTTAACTTTTTAAAATTATAACAAATAAGACCTAAAAATAAAAAAAAAATTGTTACGCTGCTGGTAAAAGTTGTATGCACCACCTACACGGCGAGACGACGATACAAGTTTATTAGTGCATCACGTATGCAGCCACTTTTCATGGACGAAAAACAAGTGCTTTGTCATTGTGGTCCAGAAGAAAGAACTTAATTAAAACATGATCTCTAGTCAAAGAAGCTGTAATCATATTCCACCATAGCCAGTAGTAGCAGTAATTCACACTTCCATTAAAATAAGCACTCATTGAAAAAGCTACAAATTCCACTATTTATTTATTAGATTCACACATTTTTTGTGCATCTCGAAGGGGAAGACACATCCACCACTTAATATCACCACAAACAAACATGGTCAATGTCTCTTCATAGTCCCATCCTATTCAAACCATTTTAATATAGATTCGACTCTGTAACCCACTTATTGTGATCACGAATCATATAATGAGCTGTTTCAGAGGATTCAACTCTGTTGTATTTTTTGTTTTTGTGTATTGCTGTGTTGTTGCTTGTTCGGTGATCGGCGAAGATGATGTGAAGTGCTTGCAAGGTGTGAAGAGTTCGTTCACCGATCCCGAAGCAAAGCTCAGTTCGTGGACCTTCGCGAACGCGTCGATCGGTTTCATCTGCAAGTTCGTCGGCGTTTCGTGCTGGAACGATCGGGAAAACCGCTTGATCAGCCTCGAGCTTCGTGATATGAATCTCGGTGGTGATATTCCCAACTCTCTTCAGTATTGTTATAGTCTGCAAACTCTCGATCTCTCTGGTAACAATCTTAATGGTTCGATTCCTAATGAAATTTGCTCTTGGTTGCCTTATTTAGTAACCCTAGATTTGTCTAACAACAATCTCGTCGGTTCGATTCCTGTTAATCTCGTCAACTGTACGTTTTTGAACATTCTGATTCTCTCGAACAATCAATTAACCGGTACTATTCCGTATCAATTATCCAGTTTGGGTCGGCTTAAGAAGCTTTCTGTTGCTAATAACCATCTGTTTGGTACAATTCCTTCGTTTCTCAATGCATTTGATTCGGCCAATTTTGTGGGGAACAGTGGACTCTGTGGCGGTCCGCTTGGAAAGTGTGGTAGTTTAAGTAAGAAGAATCTTGCAATTATTATCGCTGCTGGTGTGTTTGGTGCCGCGGCGTCGCTTTTGTTGGGGTTTGGTCTGTGGTGGTGGTACTTCACCAAGGCGAGTCGGAGGAGGAAGAGAGGGTATGGATTTGGGAGAGATGATGATGGAAGTTGGGCTGAGAGATTGAGAGCTCACAAGCTTGTTCAAGTTCAATTGTTTCAGAAACCGCTTGTGAAGGTGAAGTTGGCGGATTTGATGGCTGCGACGAACAATTTTAATGCTGAAAATATTATAATTTCGAGTAGAACAGGGACAACTTACAAGGCTGTTCTTCCTGATGGGTCTGCACTTGCAATTAAGCGGCTTAACACTTGCAAGCTAAGTGAGAAGCAGTTTCGGTTGGAGATGAATAGATTAGGGCAGCTTCGGCATCCAAATTTGGCACCATTGTTGGGATTTTGTGTGGTGGAAGAGGAGAAGCTTTTGGTTTATAAGCACATGTTGAACGGAACTATGCATTCGCTGTTGGATGGGAATGCAAGCGTATTGGAGTGGCCAACTAGGTTTAGGATTGGTTTCGGTGCTGCAAGGGGACTTGCTTGGCTTCACCATGGCTGCCAACCGCCTATCTTGCACCAGAATATAAGCTCTAATGTGATTCTCCTTGACGAAGATTTTGATGCTCGGATAATGGACTTTGGGTTGGCTAGGCTTATGACATCTTCTAATATGAATGAGGGTACTTTTGTCAATGGAGATTTGGGTGAATTTGGTTACATAGCTCCGGAGTATTCTAGCACAATGGTTGCTTCATTAAAAGGGGATGTTTATAGTTTTGGGGTGGTGCTTTTAGAGTTGGCTACGGGCCAGAAACCTCTTGATGTCTGCAACACTGAGGAAGAATTCAAAGGTAATTTGGTGGATTGGGTAAGTCAGCTTTCCAGTTCTGGTCGAATAAAAGATGCCATTGATAAGAGTCTATGTGGAAAGGGGCATGATGAGGAAATTGTGCAGTTTCTGAGAATTGCATATAATTGTGTGGTTTCTCGGCCTAAGGACAGATGGCCAATGTACCAAGTTTATGAATCATTGAAGAGCATTGCGGAGGAACAAGGATTCTCAGAACCATATGATGAATTTCCACTACTTTTTTGCAGGCAAAATACTGATTAAATTTGGCGCAAAAAAGGGAGGAGCACTCTACATCTTCTTGTAGAAAAATTCAAGCGTCTAACAGTAAGTTCACAAATCCACTAGATGTAAATTGATCTTCCTTTAGCTAGCTTTCCTGATGCCTTTCCCATTTCATTGGATATATATGTTGTGATACAATAAACTCCTCAAACTGTAGCTTCTTGTAATTTAGGAGGTCTGTTAAATGTTATCTGTATTACTTTTCTGTTGTTTTAATTCTTAATCCTTTGATAATCCTTAATCATGTATTCATCCACTATTGTCTGGTATTAGTTTTCTGTTGTTTTAATTCTTAATCCTTTAATAATCCTTAATCATGTTTACTTCTTAACCCTGTTGTCTAGTATTACTTTTTATACATGTCTTGCCATTTATTGTTGTATGCTATATGAGTTAACGCTATTAAGTCCTCTAAGCTTATAATTGCTGGGTTGAGAAAGTTTACTTCTTTATTTGCTTACCCGCTTTACTTATATGCATAGCCTCCTTGTATTTTAGGGATAAATTATTGGCATGTACTGAAAACTGAGCTTACCAACAAAATAAGAGAAACCCTTAAAAGACAACACATATCATTTGAAGAAACTATGGAGTATAAAGGACAACGGCTATGAAGCACGGACACGGACACGGACACGGACACGAACACGGACACGGACACGCGACACGACATGGACACGACACGGACACGCAAAAACGCAAATTTTCAAAAAATAGGAGACACGACACGCTGGGGACACGTTCAATATATATAATTTTTTTTTATATATTATATGTAAAATTAAAAATATATACTAATTTTATTTATTATATGTAAAATTAAAAAATATATACTAATTTTATTTATTATATGTAAAATTAAAAAATAAATATATTATTTGTATTTATTTATATTATTTATTTACAAAAGAAAGGCATAAAAAAGAAAAAAAAGAATAAAAAGAATAAAGAGGGAGAGACAGACACGGTATAAGGAAGAGGGAAAGAAAGTGAGAGGCGAGAGTGAGAGGTGATCAGAGAGCGAGAGCGAGAGCGAGAGGCAGACACGATCAGAGAGCGAGGGGCGACACCAGAGAGAGATGGACAGAGAGAGAGGAGTTGAAGACGATGAGAGACGAACAGGTTCTTCCTCGATCTAGCCTCGACGGGTTCTTTCTCTCTCTCTCTTTCTCTTTCTCTTTCTCTCTATCTTCAATGGGTTAGGTCTCTGGTTAGGGTTTCTGTTTACGTGTCCACGTGTGTCAAGCGTGTCCAAAAGAGTGTCCACCTGCAAAAATTCAAAAAAAAAACAAGGACACGTTAGGTCGAGTGTCGGACACGTGTCTACTGCGTGTCCGTGTCCGACACCCATACGCTGCCTCCAGCGACTTGTCCGTGCTTCATAGGACAGCGGCCAATCATTTTGCAGTAATTGTTGAGGTTGTTTGTTGCAGTCCAACATTCATACAATTCAGTTGTTTAGGGAATATATGGATAAAACACCTCATCACAGTTCTACTGTGTGGAGTTGAACACAGTTAGAATGACCCTTTGTTGCTTGAAATTGAACAGTGGATGTAACTGGGCACCATTCCTTATGGTCAACCCAAACTATTATTTTTTTTTTAAAACTGGTTCCATTACAGAATAATTCTTGATTATTCATTCCTAACTGCATGAAACCTGTTCCTTTCTGTTCTAGCCGCTTGCAGCATGTTCTGGCTATGGAATTCATGTAGAAAAGTATCTAGAATTTATATCAGATATTGTTGAGTTTACAATGGGTTGTAACTCAAATGACAAACTGTGATAACAACTAGTTTTCTGGGTTTAGTGACTGAAAATATTGCTCTGCAGAAAGTTTTTCTATTATTTGTTGTTGGGAAAAAAAGGATTCCAAATCTTAAGAATCCCAGGTGAGAAACTCCTTATTTTACTGCAGAAAGTTATTATATTATTTGTTGTTGGAAAACTTCTCAACAATCATTTGTAGTGATTTGGGGGCTTTATTGGAAGCTCGCCTACTTGGGAGCTAAATACTTTTTTATCTGGAAACAATTAAAAAAGTCTGATTTTTATTTATTTATTTTTTTTGGTTGGTTTTTTTTTCTTTTTTTTTGAAGGGGGGGGGGGGTGATGACACATTGCACGAGGTTTTTTAATTTTCAACATAGACTGTAACACCCTTTGTGGGATGTTTAGAGACTAGAGCCCACACAAAATTACCTTGGGAGTTGCCTACTTGGTGGCCCATAGTAACGGGAAGATATTGGTTGGTCTTGAACATCATTAGGAAATTGACTGGTAGCTCGAAAAAAGTGATTCGATTTTGGCTTGAATCGCAAAATGACGACGTCGTTTTGTGATTTTTTTTTTTTTTTTTTTTTTTTTTCATTTGAAATGGAAAGAGGAGGAGAGAGAGAAAGAGAGAGGAGAGGAGAGAAGGGCTCCTTTTGTGCCTTCGCCGTCGTCGATCATCGCAGCATCTCCGATCATTGCAGCGGCTCCGATCGTCGCAGCAACAGTTCCGATCGTCGCAGTCCCGCCTCCGGCCCCGCCTCTTCTAACCCGATTTTGATGGCCCCCTTCCCTTCAGTTCTCCTTCTTCCACTTCCTTCCTCCTTTCTTCTTCTTCTGTTCTTCTTTTTCTCCGAATTTGAGTCAAATTCGAACCTTGAATCGGATTCGAATATCATTATATGATGTTTCAACGGTGTTACGATTGATAGAAAAAATGAAACGATTGAATTTGTGTTAAATAATTGAGAAATGTAAAAAAAAATATAATAAATTATAATTGGATAAGAAACATAATCGCGTGACACTTATAAATCAACTAATATTTTTTTCACAGTAACAGCGAGGGTGGTAGGGGTAGGAAGAGGACATCATTAACCCTTACTTAGTTCAAATTGACAGGAGGAAGTATCCCTCGTACTCAAGTAGTCATCATGATCTTAGAGAATTTCATTTGTAGAAAAAAGTAATCATCAACCCTTACTTAGTTCAAATTGACAGGGGAAAATATCCCTCGTACTCAAATAGTCATCATGATCTTAGAAAATTTCATTTGTCTTGAGACTCTCACAAAAATTTCACATTCACAACCCCATCCTAGGTGAGAGAGAGAGAGGAGAAAAATAAATAAATAAAAATAAAAAATAAAAAAACACATAAATCAATCACACACGTTTAGGGATCATGGGAGTTCTCAAATTGAGGGTCCAAGCTTTTTCTTGTAGGCAATTATCATAGGGCATGTTTTCAAAACATGTTTTTGGAAAAAAAAAATAAAAAAAAGAGTAATGATTCATCCCCCCTTTTCCCCCACCCCCTTTGACCCCCTCTCTCTCTCATTGGTTACCTTTTCTTTTTCTTTTTCTTTTTTTTCCTGCTCCACCAATCACCCCCTGCTTTTTTCTATTATATATTAATCAATTTTTTTTTCTTCTTATTCTCAATTATTTTTTTTTCTTACATCCATCTATTTAATTACAAAAAAATATTTTCAAATTTCAAAACTTCAAAATTATTTTCAAAATATAAAACCAAATAAAATTTTAAATTTTCTTAATGGGAGCTTTTTTGATAAATTCATTTTCTAAGAGTTTTATTCCATCCAATTCATATTCTTTTTGACTATTCCATTAGGGCCTATTTGAGATAAGAAGACCAAAATACTATTTTCATCTACTTATGTTCCATTTAGTTTACATTATTTTCTTATGTTTCAATAAGTCCTATGAGTGACATAATTATCAAAATACTCCTAATGTGAATGTTCACACCGTCAATGTGAATGTTCATATCGTCAATGTGTAGGGGCCCGGCCATGTTGATTCTCGTGGGTGCCGGGAAAAATTTGAGTCGGGCCGGGGCGGGTCGGCCCTTGACAATATGGATATTCATATTGACATGTTAACATTCACATTAATAGGAGTGTAAAATTGGCCCGCGTCCCGTGGCGACGTGAAACCCTCCCGCGACCCATGGGCGGCTTGGGGCGGGGCCGGTCCAGCCCATTGACAATGTGAATATTCACATTGACATGTTAAGATTTACATTGATAAAAGTATAAAATTGGCCCGCAGCCTATGGGCGGCCAAAAGCCCGCCCGCAGCCCGAGGAGGGTCCGGCCCGGCCCGTTGACAATGTGAATATTCACATTGACATGTTAACATTCATATTGATAGGAGTGTAAAATTAGCTTGCGCCTCGTGGCTGCCCAAAACCCGCCCACGGCCCGTGGGCGGGCCCGGCCCGGCCTGTTGAAAATGTGAATATTCACGCCTGTTGACAATGTGAATATTCACATTGATAAGAGTATAAAATTGGCTAGCGGCCCAGGGCGGGCCCGGCCCGGTTCGTTGATAATGTAAATATTCACATTGACATGTTAACATTCACATTGATAGGAGTGTAAAATTAGCCCGTGCCTCGTGATTGCCTGAAACCCGCCCACGGCCCGTGGGCGGGCCCGGACATTTTTTTTTAATTCTTTTTAATTTTTTCTACCAAAATTTTATTATTTTTCACAAAAAAAGACACAAGGCCTTGGCGCGAGCCGGGCCTCAGATCAAGCCTTGAATGGGCCTTTAACCGGGCCGATGGGTCGGGTTAGGCTTCAAAGTGATGGCCCAGGCCCTAGCTTAGGGTCTCAGCCTGGGCCCAAACGAGCCTTTCCCGGGTCAGACCAGGTCAGGCCGGGCCCACGGGCCAAAAAATTAGGCCCAGGCCCTAGCCTTGGCACAAGGGTATTCGGGCTTTGGACGGGCCGATGGATCGAGCCTCGGGTCGAACCGGTGGGCCTGGGCCTAGCCTCGAGCTTAGGTCAGGCTTAGGCGGGCTGGCTATTTTTTTTTAATTCTTTTTAATTTTTTTTACTAAAATTTTATTATTTTTCACAAAAAAATACATTGCGTCTCGGGCGGGCTGGGCCTCGGACCGAGCCTTGAATGGGCCTTAAGCGGGCCGATGGCCCGGGCCGGGCTTCAAAATGATGACCTAGGCCCTAACCTAGGGTCTCGGACATGCTCGGGCCTGAACCGAAACGAGCCTGCCCCGGGTCGTAGGCGGGCTTCGGGCAGCCCATGGGCCGCGGGCCAATTCTACATTCCTATCAATGTGCATTTAACATGTCAATGTGAATATTCACATTGTCAACGGGCCGGACCGGGCCTACCCCGGGCCACGGGCAAGCTTCAGGCAGCAGACAAATTTTACACTCCTATCAATATTAATGTTAACATGTCAATGTGAATATTCACATTGTTACGGGTCAGGCCAAGCCCGCCTCGGGCTGCGGTCGTCTTCGGGCCGCCCACGGGCAGCGGGCCAATTTTACACTTTTATCAATGTGAATGCTAACATGTCAATGTGAATATTAACATTGTCAACGGGCCGGGTCGGGTCCGCCCTAGGCCGTTGGCCAATTTTATATTCTTATCAATGTGAATGTTAACATGTCAATGTGAATATTTACATTGTCAACAGGCCGGATCGGGCCCGCCCCGGGCCGCCCATAGGCTGTGGGCAGGTTTCGAGTAGCCACGAGGCGCGAGCTAATTTTACACTCCTATCAATGTGAATGTTAACATGTCAATGTGAATATTCACATTGTCAACGGGTCGAGCCGCGGGCCAATTTTATACTCTTATCAATGAGAATGTTAACATGTCAATGTGAATATTCACATTGTCAACGGGCCGGTTTCACGCCGCCACGGGACGCGTGCTAATTTTACACTCCTATTAATGTGAATGTTAACATGTCAATGTGAATATTCACATTGTCAAAGGGCCGGGCCCGCCCCGGCTCGCTGGCGGGATTCGGGCCGCCCACGGACCAATTTTACATTTGTATCAATGTGAATTTTAAAATATGAATTTTCACATCATAAAATTGTTAACCGTTCAAAAAATATTTATAAGGGTATCAAAATTAAATATAAGGGCATAAGTGTCCAAAAAAATAGTGTAAATCAAGAAAAAGGACTTTATGGAATAAAATTATACATATATGGGGACTAAATAGGTTAAAAAATTTCTTCATGGACTTCTTGAGTTAAAACACTTCTAAATGAGATTTATTAATAAAAATCTCTTTCTTAATTCTCTTCAAAATATTATTTTTAAAATAATATATCAAAACACAAATCGAAAAAAGCCATAATCTCTGAAAAATTATTCCCCAGTCCTCCATGTTTGAGATCTTAATATTTACAAAAACTGGAAAGCTCTTTCAATGCCTAGGTCGGATCAAGGATCATGAATGCGATAGCTAGGAAAAGTAATGTTTGAGGTTTGTACGCATAATTATTTTTATTAGGCCTCCGTTTGAGAAGTGGGTTAATTTTTTAATTTTTTTAGCTATTTTAGCCTCTGCAAAAAAGTTTGGTTTAAGAAGAGCTTTTTAGTTTTTTGGTTTTTTTGACTTTTTTTATAAGAGAAAAGTGTAATGATTATGGGTTGGATGTAATATTTTGTTTTTTGTGACTAAAATAGTCTATTTTGTCTTTTGTGACTAAAATAGCCAAAAAAGTCCCATTTAGCTTTTCCTAAACGGAACCTAGGTTGAGTTTCTTAACAACTTAGAGCATCTCATCACTTTACCTAAACTTTATTTTAAAATATTATTAAAAAATTCATTTCCTATTTTAAGAATCACTTTTTTCTTTATTTTTTCCATCAAACTTCCTATTCCCCACCGGGCCGCGTAACACGCACATCGTTTCTTAACAACTTAGAGCATCCCCTCAGTTTATCTAAATTTTATTTTAAAATATTATTAAAAAATTCATTTCCTATTTTAAGGATTATTTTTTTATTTACTTTTTTCATCAAACTTCCTATTTTTTTCTTAAAATATTCTTTTCCTATTTTTTCACCTTTTCATCTTCTTCTTGAATTTATTGGAGATGGTGTTCATCCATCTATGAAAATGGAAAGGATAGACAGAGCAAGAGAGAGAAGACATTCAAGATTTGAGAGAGAAGAAGAAGACATTCAAGAGAAGACTTTCCTTTTCTGCAATTGTCATACATATATATATATATATATATGTATATCTATATATAGAGAGAGAGAGAGAGAAGACATTCAAGGATTGAGAATGGACAAAGGAGACAAAGCAGAGTAGGGGCAGTCAACCGGCCGGATGTTCAGGTGGTCGACCGGCCGGACATCCGGATAGACGACTGGCAAAGCAAGTTTTGCCTAGATCACTCATCTAGGACATTCGGTGAACGACCACTGTCAGGTATAAGGGAGCTACTGTAACTCCCTACAAATAGAAAGTCACTGTAGCAAATATTATTTTGGAGTGACTTATAAGGGAGATAGGGTGATATAAAGGGAGATCCAACTTCTAAAATAGGTAAGGGAATGATTTAGGAGCTCTGCTGCGAATGCTCTTAAATCCACAGATTTTTGTATGTAACATTTTATTCTGAACTGGAAGTTTGATTTTGTGAAAGATGGAATGCTTTTACATGGACACCAATCATTCAGTAGGCTGCAACTGTACAGGAAAATGGACCCGACTCTTTCCATGAACCGGCGTACAAACCGAAGCCCAAATGTAAGCAACAGCAGATGCCATTTTTAAAAAAAAAAACAATTTATCTCATTAGCGCCGAATCAATAATTCTACAATCCCAAATCACATCAAATGCTAAAAAGATGAGTGATTTTGCAATAACGCCCACGCGGAAAGTGTATTGTAAAAAAGGTTAACCTTATGGTAATCCTTGTGCCATTTTCAGCATGCTTTTAGTATTTTGTTGGAACTTTGCAGTGCACCATAGGCAGTATCAGAGAAGACTTAAAAGCCATAAAGCTAAAGATGTTATTTGAAAGACAAATCAATTTTGTGTGCCCACTACTCCTTTTATATCCTATATACAAAAAACATAAGCACAATTGCCCTAAATTCGTGCCGAGAGTATCGCTGTTTCAATTTTTCTCCCAAACATCTAATTGCAACAGATTCAAGAATCAGTTTCAAGAGTCACTGTGTTCCTTATCTACAATAATTTATCCACCGCATAACAAATTAACTTTAGCGGTTTCACCTTTTATCAACCATAAGAACTGCACGAGATGGGAATCTGTCTCTCATGCAACCCAAAGAAAAGGGCCTCACTAAATTTGAATCTCAGTTACTTTAGGACCAAGTCTTTGCTTCTTGAAACTATCAAAATCAAACAAGAAAAAGAACCAAACAAAGAGAAAGTGAAAGAAAGAAAAAGAGCAATGAACAGAGTCACTTTGTTTTTCACTTTGGACAGACATCCAAAAGCTAATTAGATTTGTTAATTGTTACTGTTTTTCATAATTAATTATTACATATGATTAGACTATTTTTCATGCAGTTTTCATGTGTAAACATGTAAACAAAAAACAGATTTCAGGTGTTAGAAGTTATAAATTTATTAACCCAAAAAACTCTATATCTTAATTTGAAAGCACGACTTTAATTGATTACTATAAATTTTTTCTGAAGCTTTGTGTGTTCATGAAATAACTTTTGTTTAGAAAATAAATTTAAAATTGCTTGGCATTAAGAATTTTGTTCTAAAACAATTTGCAATTACTGAAAAAAAAACCTTTTATCCAAGTATTGCCTTGTCATCACACCATCATTACACAATTTTAGGGAAAAAAACATTTTTGGAAAGAGAGCACCTTTAATTGATGGAATTGCTTTATTTGGGGAACACAAAGCCACTCAACAAAAGAAAACAAATCAAATAGAAATACTAAAGCCAATTTCTCAATAATATATCTTACATGCCTGCATAGATGATGTATGGAGATTGGAGACTAGCTAGCACATTTTCTAGGATTGTGTTCCATTTTTTTCTCACTTCGTTTAACATGCTCTGTTTTCTTTTTCATTGCAAAGTAAAATCCTCAATCAATCCATGAATATCTCTCTTTCTCATCAGTCTTTGAATATAAGTAGGGACAAAGCAAATACCAGTGGGATACCTCCAAAAGTTTAGGCTTTTATCGTGCAAGAGAGGAGAAGCTTCCACAAATCTGATTCCATAAAATTCAAGTCTCTCTGCAATTCATGAAGCAGTACCCTGAGAATGCTCGAGTCATTCGAGTAAAATTCAGGAGTAATTTAATGACTGACCTATATCAATTTTTTTTACAACAACTAAACACTCCCAAAAGTGGAGCAGCATGATTACTAACTACAAGAATTGCAACCAAAAAAAAAAATCTAATATGGAGATGCACTCATATTTCACTCAAATTGCATGGCTATAAGTCTTCTAAACAAAGTTCTGAAGCTCCTCTGTATCTTCTTGGTGCTTAAACTCGACCGGGTGGTTCTCTGGTTTTCCCCGCTTTCCTGCAGCAAAAAAAAAAAATTACTAGGAGACTACAGAAGTATTTGCAAGAGAGAGAGGGAAGATTATTTGAGTATAGTCAACAATGTGTCATGTAGAGCCTAACAAGTAAAGAGAATACTTCAGCCCTCCATATTGGCAAACAGAGATTATGAACATCAAAAACAAATTTGATTTCGAACACAAAAACAAAATGAGCAGTACAAATTATGGGGCCCATTAATAAAGTGTTCCAGCCTTTCCCCCAATGTCTTTATTGCTTATCATAAAAATAAGAGAAAGATTGACCGTTAAAGAAGCTTTTCTTAAAGATTAGGTTAACATAAGCTTCCATTCTCCCTGGCATTACAAATTTAAGTTCATGATGCTTCTTTAAATTATCAAAATATCATACATAGAATATAAGGGAAATCAGAAACACATTTCCCTTTTAACAAAATAAAAAACTTCACTAGAAACAGATATAAATCTTCAATAGGATGATGTGTGAATATATATAATGGAAATAATGATAGTCTTGATGAAAATGGGATGGAGAAACAATAAGAGTGTATGGAAATGTATATCAATGCCTTGTAGAAAACATAAATCTTCCCAAATTGAAGAACGAAGCGGTTAAAGTGACCAAGTTTTTGGGTGGGAGTCTTTGTGTGTTTCTGACTCTGAAGCTTGTAAAACTTGACCTAGTCTGTCACTGTCGGATTATTGTGAAAGAATTTATCTTGGTATTTCTTTTGTGTTGATTTCGATAAATAAATTTGTTGCCTCTTGGCTTGTTTACATGTGACCCTCTGGGTTGTGTCTTAAGCATCATTGCATCTCTTTCCTTTTTGGTAATAGAAACAGCTTTAAGAAACAAGGAAATGAACATCAATTTCCTGTGTATATATGCATTGATGTCTACAGCCGTGTCGATGAAACCGAATTAATTTTTGAATTCTAGAAAAACTGAAAAGGAGTAAAGATGGTATACATGGAAAAACAAAATAGAAAGAATACATTTCTAGTTATAATACTTCTCACAGATATAGTGAATGTAAGTTAAGCACACGTCGTTAAGTTCAATTCATAGCTAGACAGTATATATTCATCCTCCCCAGACTCCGAGCAGTGGATATATGTACCTGTTGTGAATAGGATCAGGTCCATTAGGTACTCTTCTCTTGCTCTCGTAATTCGGATCCAAATCCCAGTGACCGACTTGCCTCTCTTTTGCTATCAACTTTAGCAGCTCATCAGACTTTGCAGTTGATTCATGAATTGTTGTGGTAGTCGTTCTGGTCACGCGACTGGCTAGAACTCCAACAAACAAGAACCAGATAAAACCCATGAAGAAAACAGCTCCTAATAAAGCCCTCAAAACCCTGCCTCTGCCACCCATATTTAAATTTCTCCCTCCCACTTTTCTCTCTCTAAATGTTCTCTCCAAGGCAGAAGGCCCGACCGTTCAAGAACATGGATGAAGACAAGGTGAAAACAATCATGTTAACGTTGGGATGAGGATAACGCATCCTTGAGCTCTCGGATAGCAAGCAAGGAACAAAATGAAATGAAGAGAGGAGGGATTGGCTTCTTTATAGGGTGAAAGACTTAGCAGTGATTCTGTTGTATTTGAGAGAGAGAGAGAGAGAGAGAGAAGTAAAATTACCAAAAAGAAAATAAAGTTGGTTTTCCCTTGTTGCTTTAAATTTGATTTGGGTCCATAGGGAAAACTCTTCCTTTGCTTTTTGGTGTGAGCATTTTCATGCAGCTAACAAAGGGGACCTCACTATGCCCTCCCTCCCTAGTGCTTAATATTTATGTACTCTCAAGTTTGGGAAAAAAAAAAACATGCAGGGTCTTGCCTTGTGCCCCATTCAGTTTATATTATCCAAAAATAGAATATTTAAATACTTAAATTTAATGACCCCATATACATATGGTATTAGAGATTTGGAAGATAATAAAGCACCGATTTAATTCCCTCTTATTTTTTTAAACCCTTGTCTGGTTGCAAACACAACACTAAATTATATTATGGAAAAAAATTTGATAATAGTATTATGTAATATTATTTACGTGGAACTCCAACAAATGAGGAATTACCAAACATACTAGGTAGGTCATCCATTATCTCTTAATTACTTATTAAAGGCGAGTCAGTATTGTTTCACTTGTAAATTTTGTGATTATATGTCATTGATAGAAAGTATTACGCAGACAATACCATGATAAATTACTGTTAAATGATATGGTTACCTTTCTCTCTTAAAATTAACAGAGAATCATCTAGAAAGGGAGGGAATTTCTCACTGAAGGACGCAGTAGGAGTGAAGGAGGCGGGAAGCTACCACTTCTAGAACGCGAGCTAATCCTAATCTTTTTTTTTAGAGTGTACCGGTATATAAAATAATAAAAAAAGGTTTAAGAGGTGGCATGACCAAGTTAAATGGCAGGGTTAGAAATAGATAGATATGGATAAGTAAGGTTAGGACTTGGGAGTCTGATTGGGGAAAGTGAATAAACACAAACAGTGGTCCAGCAATTTCTGGCGGAAGTTATGGTTTTCTTGCTTGCTAAGCATCTGGGCCTACTTTACGCATATACTTAATTCAACTTGACTAACACCTCGTTTGGGAAGTGAAATTCTAACTGTTTTTAGGTTAAAATTTAAAAGAGATAAATAGGCTAAAATAATTAATAAGATAAAATGTCATATTAAACCCATAATTATTTTACTTTTTCTTTCACAAATATCACATCTAAATACAAAAATATCCAATCATCTTTCCAAATATAACAATTTTAATCTACTAAAATAGTTAAAAACTAAAATATCCTACTAAACACCCACTAAGTCCTGGTTTGGTAAATATTTCGGGCTAAATAATCACATATAGACAAAAAAAAGTCAAAAAATCAATAAAAAAGTTTATCATTCCAAAGTCAAAAAGTCAAAAAAGTCAAAACAAAAAATCCAAACAAACAAAAAAATCTCAGACTAAAAAAATTAAAAAAAACCAAAAATCAATTAAAAAGTCATTACAAAAACGAATCCTAAATATGTCCAAAAAATGCAACACAACGCCATTTCCTACCCAAAATGCTCTACTTTAATCATTTTTGAAATTTTTATATAGGATAACGCTACAAAGAAATTATTTGCCGTCTTTGATGGGAAGACCCCTTAGTATGGGACAAGACAAAGAGTCGAACAATTCCATTACGGTATGGGACGATATGGGATATAGTACTTCTTTTTTTTGTTTTGTTGGTATGAATGGGATACAGTACTTGATCTCACGCTTTGCATCATACTTGGGTCTTTTGGCGCTATGGTCAGATTCTAACACCTGGGATCAAGTGATCTGTAAATATAAAAATAATTAATAATATATATTTTTTCATTTATACAAATATTAATTAAAATACCAATAGAAAGAGAATTATGTATTATATAAAATATAAATTAAAATTTTAAAGAAGTACAATGTGAGTGTATTTTCAAAATTGTTAAAATAAATGAAAGATTTTTTTTTTGTTGCTCATCTTTTAGACCAAAATAATTCTTTTTAACGAGTCCAGTCATAAAGGATAAAAATTATGTATTTTGAAAATTAATGTAATTTAAATTTTGAGTGATGTTAACCATATTTAAAATAAATCTCACTCACATTAATTTTTTTTTAATAATAATGAAGGTTTTGTATATTTAAATATTAATTATTAATTTTTATTATTTGGCATTTTTATACTGACAATTGGGTCATTAAAGTAGGTGGTGCTTTCGTGGCATCAATTATAGAATACGTGGTGTACTTTTTTGATAATAGAAAAACACATGATCACTTTGTCTTTTATTTTCTATACAATATCATTCCGGGGTGGCATAGAATCATGTAGTAGGCCAAATCTACCAAATAATAGTTAAAAATGTCGAGTAGCTTCAGTGGGAAACTAAATTTTTTTTTGTTTATTCAATTTGTTCTCTTCAGATTCAAACAGGTAGTAATTAGTAGAGAGCATTACCAAGCTCATACTTCTAAGCAAGCTATAACCAGAACCATCACAAGCCTACATTAACTTGCCTACTAGTGTGTGAGTGAGAATTTAAAGGACTCAGAAACTGAAATATTCATTCAAAACTTCAGGAAATTCAGACTGTATCTCGCTGTCTCTATCCAATATGGCCTCCACAAATGAATTTGCAGAAGAAGTTGAAGCAGCTTCAGAACAGTACCGCTCTGTCTGACCTCCAATGTACATTGCTTCACAACCTCTCTCTTGTGCAACTTCACTGAACTGATAGTGTGGTTTGTTGCTTTGCAATGTGATCAAGGGAACCTGCAAATTGTGCTCTTGTTTTGGATCCATATCCGAAGACAGAATAGGGTCTCCAAGAAGAAACTCAGAACACCAACTAGAGGGAGAAGATGGTGCCACTGGAACTGGAGATGATAGGCAAGAAAAGGATCGTGGAGAGCTCAATTGCGTGACACTATAAGAAGATGACGATGATGAAGTCAAAGAGGGAACTTCATGTTGTTGCACGGTTTCTTGGCTAATGAACTGCTGTGGCAGTGGTTGATTGATGGTCGTGATACATGAAAGTTCAATTGGAACTAAAGATGACATGTTTGTGGAAATGTTGAGTACTGGGAGACTGGCAATTTTTTCATAGTCGGAGAGGATCTGAGAGAAGGGTTTGTGGGTTAGAGGATCAATTCCCATCTTGAAAAGCTTCTTCTTCAGCTTTGTATTCCAATAGTTTTTGACATCATTGTCTGTTCTTCCAGGTAGTTGTTGTGCTATCAAAGACCATCTATGCCAAAATAATGGGGAGGGAGAGAAAAGAGTCATTATCCACTTGTTTCCAAAAAATGAAAATAGAAAACAAAAACACAACCGAACATCATAAATTTATATAAATGATTGGCAGAGAAAGACTTCTTTGCAGGAACTTTACACAAAACTGCTGATCACTCCAAGATTCAGGACCAAAAACTGAACACTTCAACTTACCAATGAAGATCAGCAGGCACACATTTAATTGAACCAAAATAAAAATAAAAATAAATTAAATTAAAATAAAAAACTGAATCTTGAAGATTTATCTTTGTTTAATTTTTTACATTTTTCCCCCCACTTTAGATTGCTCATGAAACAAGGTGTACTAGAACTTTCTTAGTGAGATCATGGACAAGTTGTTTTTTTAAAAAAAAAAATTTCACCACAAAAACAGTGCTAAAAGGAGTTAGATATAAGTGGCAAGTAAAGTAGCGATATGAGGAAGAGCAAGTTATGAATTTAGACTTATGAAAGGTTTGATCTTCTTTGGATCATTTTAAAGTACTTTATCTGAATGTATTTAAGGATTACTCCAAACAAAGGCCTCCATGACATTATTAACAAATAAATAAACTGATAAAAAGTCCAAAGCCTACTAGCCGGTAATTGATCCTAAACCATTATTTGTTTGTAATCCACATTTAAAATTAAAACAAAATAATATTAAAATGTTGTATTTCATTTTAAACTATACATCCCAAAATCACCTCAGTTTGTTTTAACTTAGAATCTTGAAACATCATTGTAGAGAGAATGACCAACAATCCTGATCCATCAAAAAGAAACTCAGATAAATCTCATTTTGAGAGAAAGAGAGAGAACAGAGATTAGTCCTCACCTGCTCCCAATAACTTTATGATAGTCAAGAATAAGCTGTTCTTCCTCGGGTGTGAAGTTGTCATGCTTGAGATCTGGCCTCAGATAATTCGTCCACCTAAGCCTACAGCTCTTACCGCATCTATTCAGTCCTGCACATGTACACAAACTCATCCAAACCTTACAAAAACATTTTAGACAACAGAAATGAAATATATATTTAATGTGATGAGAAAGATGGATGACCTGCTTTGTGGGGAACCAAAGTCCAGTTACCAATGCCGTGGTTGGCTACGTATGCAAGTATCTTTGCATCTTCCTCTGCTGTCCAAAGCCCCCTCTTCACGTTTGATTTATCACAGCAAGGAGGTCTCCCCATCAAATGACAATGAGAGAGAGAGAGAGAGAGTAATGGGGTTGATGTAATGGTGTGATGCTATGCCAGAGCTTAACTAAGTACATTTTTGGAAGAGGAAACATTTAACAAGTGAGGAGGCAAGAAATGCATGTATATTTGGATCCCCATTTAACCACAATTGCATGATTTTATCATCAAATCATCACCAAACGGTTTAACTACATGACATCAAAAAATAATGCATGCAGATCCCTCGCCTCTCCCCTCTCTCTCATGTACTAGGCTCCATCGGCATTTGATTATTCGGGTCCAAATTGGGTGACTTCAGCGGGTAGCACATTTCAAATTACGAAAACAGCCTCCAACAATAAGATAAGATTATGTATATTTTGCCCATACCCCGCAACTTCAATGAGTCTCATGCAATTGATTATCCTATTTTTTCTTTTTCTTTTTTTAAGCATGACTTTCAGAAAATAGTGTTCAAACTGTCATTAGTGATGGGAGTCCCTCACATGCATATGGAGAGAAATAAATAATAGGAAGAATTTTTTGTCTCTAAATTCTTCTATCCTTGTCGCAAAACATTCACAATTGTTGAATTATTGGATAATGTAAAAATCTCGAGACATGATCTAATGATTGGTAGGAGATAAAAGAATTTGAGACAAAGACCGTCTCATGCAATTGATCATCCTATTTTTTCTTTTTCTTTTTTTAAGCATGACTTTCAGAAAATAGTGTTCAAACTGTCATTAGTGATGGGAGTCTATCACATGCATATGGAGAGAAATAAATAATAGGAAGAATTTTTTGTCTCTAAATTCTTCTATCCTTGTCGCAAAACATTCACAATTGTTGAATTATTGGATAATGTAAAAATCTCGAGACATGATCTAATAATTGGTAGGAGATAAAAGAATTTGAGACAAAGACCCATGCCGAAATAATAAGGCCTTAAAACCAACTTACACTAAATCCATTGGTCAAAATCCTTACAACTGTGAGGTCAGGTCAGTGATCTACATGTTTTACCGCTCAGCAGCAGAGAGAAAGAAAAAACTCTTGAAATAACAGTTTGCCAAATGAACTATCAAGCCACAGAAAAATTCACAGACAGTAATTTTATAAATAAAACGTGAAAAACATCAGCAACTACAAAAGCTCCAGCTAGTATAACTTGATGAATGCCTCCAGTCTCCTAGCAACATCAACTCTTCTTTCATATATATATATACATATATTTGTGTTTGTTGTCTTGTGTTTGTAAAATAGTTCAATGTTTTTTATATACAACAAATCTAGACAACTCTTCACCTTATGAAGATGCAGATGCCTGAAAAAGGATTCCTATGATGAGCACACCTTGCAGCTTTTCATACAATTTCCAACTACACCTTCAGAGCCTACCATATAGAGTGGATTCCTTTTACACTCCCCAGAAGCAGCCCATCGAGCACAGTTCTCGTTCTCGTCAATGCAACCTCCATTTGCATGCTTTAATATTTTCTCAAAAGACCTTACGTGAATCCACTTGGTTGCGGACCACTTCTCACCCTCAATGACAGGGCAGCTCCCATGCAAACTCAATGGGTCAGTTGTTGCATTAGGATGAAGACTATAAAACAACAAAGCATCCCCCTTTTTAGGTTTCACTGCAGAAAAACAAACACAAATATGACATTTTGATGAAATGTGCAGTGAATCCCAATCTACATATCACTTGAATCATACAAATCTCAGCACAATGGGATGGTATTTATAAAAATGCTAGTACTCCTCATTTTTTGGGTCTGGAAATGCTGAGATTATTATTAGAAAAAAGAAGAAGAAGAAGAAGAATTTAAGACCCCCAATTTACTGGGCAGATTCTTTCAAGTCATTCTCTAGTTCATATCATAATCACCAAATCTCTAAATTTTACAAAAATCAATTTTACCCGCGTAGCCATTTTTAGCACAGTCAGACCAGTCATCATCCTTCAGTTGAGTATCTTTAGCCTGTAGACAGTCAAAAGCAAGTTGTTAGCTCCTACAGAGTTTTTTTTTTTTTTGGAAAGAACCATAGAATCATCAACTATAATTTACCTCTGAATGAGGAAAGACTGTTTCTCCACCCTTCTTAACATCAGACAGATACATAAGTACAGTGGCTACCCGGTGCCCACCTAATTCTTGATTGACCTTGTCAAGAAAATAGTCAGAATGGGGCTCATACTTTTGACCGAGCTCATAATGAAGTATTTGAATGGACTCCCCATTTTCTGATCACAACATCAGGTTACGGTGAATAACGAGAACTTGCTTCCTATATATACATAATAAAGTCTATTAATAACAAGCATGGCTAAAAATTTACCTTCAGGGAGGAAGGTCCAAGCAGCAATCCTAGCCTCAATACCGACAACTACTTTATCCTTGAAAGGTGAAACAAGGTAAAGCAAATAACCTTTGCATTTTAGACAATTTAAAGCTAACAAATAATACTTTTTCAGCTTTTGAATTAGTTTCAGTACAAAAGTAAGGCATTTCTTATTGACATTGTCAAAGGGAATGTGTTTAATATTATTGCAACTTTTACAAAATGTTTACAAAGAAACTCCTGGTTGACCTTTGTGCTGCCAATAAGTTAAGGTACCAAAATAGACAAGAAGACACCTTTCTCACACATTTCTCTGTCAATTCAGGCGGCAATAGAGCAATGAATACAAATATATATCACGGAGGTTAAAGGTTGTTATAAGTTGGACTGTTGGAGAGTATTACTAAACATAAAGTCCCAATATGTGCACACACCCGTACAAAATAAATTATATATAAAAAAGAAGACCAAAATTTTATTTATATGCGAATACCAAAGTAACGACATTAGTTTTAAATACAATTTTGGGGAACATATTTAATTACCAAAGCCAAGAATTTCTGTATCAAGAAGAACGGGTTCAAATGCAAATGAGGAGAGAAGGATAACAGTTCATCGCAAAACATAATTTTATTGTGACTTCTATATCAAATTCTGTTCTCGAAGCATACTGAAAGTTGTTACTCTTTCTCCAATAACAATTGGTTTATGAAGCACGGATACTTCAAAAAGGGTGACGTATCCGTATCGGATACTTATCAGATACCGATACTCCTCGGATACTCGCGGATACGTATCGGATACTTCTTAAAAATATCGGATACTTCTTAATTAATTTTTTATTAATTTTGAAGTATCGGATACTTAATTTTGAAGTATCGGATACTCGAAGTTACATATTACTTATAATATTTTGTTCATATAGTGAGAGTTAAAGTAATAGAATTTGTCAAATTGATGTAACCTTGTTGTCTCTCTCACTTCTCTCTCGCTTTCTCACTCTCTCACGTTTCTTCTCTCTGCTCTCATTCTTTTTTTGGTGTTGGCATGTAAGGATGATATTTAATTTGCATTTGCTTTTACTTTTGCTTTTAGTTTTGGATGTTTTATGAACGTTTGAGCACTTTTAGGTTAATAGGAATCCCTCTTTTTATTTATTAATTTACTTTAAGTTTTATTTTCATGCATATTACATTATTAAAATTATAATTTTCTTTTTTTTTACGAATGTATCCCCGCTGTACCTGTAACATACTTTTTCAAATTTTGACATATCGCCATATCCACATCCCCATATCACCATATCCGTATCCGTGCTTCCTAGGCTATCATTGATGACTTAAAAAAGTATATTTGCTGAAATTTTTATTTAAGAATAGTTTTTTGGCTTTAGCTAAGGTCTGTGATATTCACTGATGAAGGGGAACAAGTTGAAGCTATTGACCTTGAAGACTCTTAGTTTTATAGGAATTTTTCTTCTTTATCAAGTTATCTTTTGCTTTAGGTTTTATTTTTATGCATACTGCATTACTAAAAATTGTTAAAATAATATTTTTTATGAACGTATCCCCGCCGCACCCGTATCCTAGTTTTTCAAATTTTATCGTATCGCCGTATCCGTATTGTATCGTATCCATATCCCGCATCCGTATCCGTGCTTCCTAGGTTTAGATGCACAAACTGATTATTGATAAGCAAACAGAAATCAATTTAAAATGATTGAAAGCCTATTGGAGCCATGACCCTGTTTCCCAAACTACAAAAGGTTGAAAATACAACTGCATCTTACAAATGGATTGACGTGTTCAAAACAAATGGCAATAACCATGAAGGCAGCCCAAGATCCCATACATTAGGATCTATAGCAATCACCGCTGCTTTTTTGTTTTTTCTTGGTACTAAGTAACAATCAGGCTACTGTATCATAGTATTCATCCAACATAACAGCTAAACATTATGGGATAAGTAAACAATTAGTAACACCTAGCAGATTTTGTATTTTTATTACAGCACTCAAATTGTCTAACCTCCAACACTAAATTGTTAGCATTACGTCAAAATTATGAAACTAGAACAACATTTTAACGAGTTGTGAAAAAGGTTCAAACTAATTGATGATTCAAAATGAATAAGAAGATTCAGACCTGGGCCTTGTTAAGAAACATGCCAGAGCTCGTCCGAACTTCACTCTGTACACTCTTGCCTGATTCATTGTCAGCTACCATGGACTTCTCTAGCTTATCCTTGGCCTACTCACCCAAATTCAGTAAAAACCCAAATTCCAAATTAGAAAATGAATACAATTTTTTATAAGTTAAAAAAAAAAAAAATTTCCCTGATTTGGTAGCTGAGAAAGAAACAGGGAAAAAATTGCTTTCCCTTATTTAAAAAAATCAACACTTCTGATTTCTTCTCTTTTCATTTCATTTGTATTTGGCTACCAAACAGAGGCAAAATCATGAGAGGGAATAAGAAGTAAAATCTGACCAGATGAATTAGATGATCACATTCCTCATGAGTCAAAAACCTACTGTAAATGAAAGCCCTGTACACTCACCATTCCAAATACAATGAACACTAAATACTCGAAGAAAATTTCAAAAGAATCGTTCAAGTTCAAAGAGAGAATAGTAGTACCTGGGACGCCAAGAGATTTGGGTGACCCGAGTGGGATCAAAAGGAGCAGACGAAACACCATCAGTCTTCAATTTAAGAATTGATCCGTGTCTGAGAAAACAAAACAAATGTGTTTCAGAAAAACATATATATATGAAGAGCGAGAGAGCGAGAGAGAGAGAGAGAGAGAGAGAGAGAGAGCAGAAGTGTGCGTAAACTTACGTTTTCTTATCTTCGAGACGACCTGGGAAGTGAAGAGCAGCGGTACCAGGGAATAAAGAGAGGAAACAGAGAGAGAGAGAGAGTGAGAGGAAAACGCGAGAATCCATGAGAAAATGTGAGCCTTCTGCAAGTTTCGGCTCTGCTCAACAAAAGAAGTTAAATAACGTTGCGAAGACTGGGGGTTTTAATTTGGTTGTTTGGTTGGCTAGAAAGAAAAAGAGTGGGATCTTACGAGAGAAAATTCAACACGAAGAGCGAGAAGCGCACGCAGGTCTACCATCTCTTTTTTCTTCTGGTTTTTTGGGTCAAACTCTCCATCGCTCTTCCTGATTTAAGACCGCCCACTGAATTTGGCAGTTTGTCAAGGTAATAAAGTCTATTCTACTCTATATTAAAAAGTGCGACCACCTAGAATGTTTTTGGTTGTGTTTGGTTGTATTTTGTAAATGTGATTTGAGAGTATGAGTTGTATTTTGAATTTGTATGTTGTAAAATTATAATTTGAGTGTAGAAAATTTATTTGGTAAAGAGTTTTGAAAATAGTTTTGGAAAAGAGTTTTGATTTGAGTGAGGAATTGTTGATGTGATATTTGATATGTGATATAAAAATTTACAACTCCTAACTAAACATACAACTCAAAATTATTTTAAAGCACATTAAAAATTAAAAAAATTTCAAAAAATATTTTTCCCAATTATATAAATCAATTGCAAAAAAAAAAAAAAAAAATCTGTACAACAGAGGACATCCGGGTGGATGTCCCCAAGGACGTCCGGGTGGTAGTCCCTGGGAACAACCGGGCGGTCTTCCCCTGGCCAAAAAAAATACAAGAAACACGCAGAATGGACAACACTTTCGGCAGAGTTTTAAAAAATTAATTTCAGAACTCTTACCAAACATAGAGCTAAAACTAGCATGTAGAATCACATTTCAAAAGCACAATCAAACACAGCGTCTCTTAATTGATAGGAAAAAGGTTGGACCTTTTTGAAATCCCATCACTTATGCATTGTAATTGGTCAATTTTTTATTTTATTTATTTTTGATTGATATGTATCTGTAGGAAATATGAAGGTAGAAAAAAAAAAAAATCTGTATTATTTCTCTAATTGATATTACTTCCGTCAATTTGAAAAGACAGCACATTGAAGACTGAATTTTTCTATAAATTCAATTTTTTTTTTCAAACGAAAGCAACTGTCTTTATTTGTTCTCCTTAAGATATTGCTTGTTTTTATTTATTTTTTATTTTTTTGGCAAAGAAACTAATATCTATACGATTTATTTTAACTGTCAGAAAAAACTTACAAAAAAAACCCATTAAGATTAAAAGATTGTGACAACATCTCTCAAGCATTATTCTGAAATCAAAAGGCATGAATAACACCACGAGTATGTATTAGATTTTTATAAATGGCACTGATAAAAAAATTAATAGAAAGTCTAACTTGTGAAGTACCAAGATATGTCTAGGTCTCCAATCTGATATTTGATTGAACAATTATATGTTTTTCATAGTTGGCCAAGACGTACATTTTTGTTTGAAAAAAAAAATATGTATGTGTGTTATTTATGTAATAAAAATGATGACTTACAGATTTTACAAACAAATCAAAAAAAAATTGACTTATAGATTTTACAAATATTTGAAGAAAAATGGTCATAATTGGTTCTTAAATCAAAAAATCCAGATTGAAACTCTAAATCATTATTCTGAAATTGAAAAAATAGGAACAACATCTTTGTAGTGAAAAAAAAAGAAGGGATGATGTTGGATAAACAATTTGCAACAAATAAACACGGTTGGATTTACAAAAAACGGACACTACAATGTAATAATTAAAAGAAAAATAATTAGAAAAGAAAACAGATCACAAACATAATACAAAAAGCGATAAGAAGTGCTACTTTTACATGTGAAACTAAATTATATTTTAGAAACAAAGTCATTTGATATCTATAATTAAGAATGAAGACGAATATGAAAGATCATATTCCAAACCATCATTATTAGTAAACTTCATCAATTCCCCTAAACATAAAAATTAGTAATTTTCCTAAAACACAACTACAAATGGTGCATGTTATGGATTGTTTGAATTAAACCAACTAAGTCTAACTTAGTTGGGCCCCAACGACTTTTTTAAAGGCTTAGTCTCAAGAGGAGAGTCGTGTGCTCAATTCTTTCTAAGAATGAGTTAAATTAAGAGGCAATCACTTGATGTTTTGCAAGGATGAGAAGGCTAACCTTTATAAGTGTTAATCTAACAATTAATAATTAACTTTTGCAGGTAAAAAAAAATATATATATATATATATATCCACAGTTTGTGCCTATTTCTTGTGATTTCATTTTCTATTTTCATTTTTCTAAAAACAAATAAATTTGTTTTTCATTTTTTTTTAAAATTTTGATTTTGAGAAATTTTTAAAAATAACCAACTTATTAAAAGATATGAAAATGTGATTTTTGAATTCGTAAAAATCATTTTCACGGAAAACGCAAAGTACATGAATGTTGTTTTGTAATGTTTACAATTTATTATTTTTGATTTATAGAAAATATTAAACATATTTATATTTATTTTTAGAATAAAAAATTCAAAAATTATATTTGATACACATATTTATTAAAGATTTTCCTAAAGAACAATTAGAATAAGTGAATGTTTTGGATTGTTTGGATCTAACAAACTCTACTGTTTGTACTGGTTTAGTTGTGATTTTGTTTTTAATTTTTAGTTTTAATTTTAATTTAAATACAAAATGTAATTAGTGAATCAAATATATGAAAGATTTTTTTACCTTTTCCCTTTTTTTTAATTTTTTTTTACACCTTATTAAAAGAGTAATCGTTATTAACGGTTCGAATTTATCCACCTGCGTGTATTGTCTTATTTCTCATATATTTGTTTAGGTTTCTTTCCACCTTTGATAGTTTATTTGTATTTATTATGTGTTGTGTTTGATATTCATTGTAATTGTAATTAATTAGGCATCATTGTAACAACATATAAATAAATAAATAAATAAAATTTAAATTTGTTTAGGTTTCTATCTCATTAAAATCAATTTAATCTATTTAATAATTATACCTCTTATCATTTAAAATTTTAATTGAATCATGAAATGTTGGTTAAAAAAATTTAAACTAACAATATTCTTATTTAATGTTCATTAAATTTATAGTTACTTATGTATATAAGTATCAAAGTGTACCATTATGACATAATAACCACCCTTGCCACAACCGAATCCGGATCCTCGATGCCACTTTCCTGCGGCGCATCCTGTCCCCCTCCAAAATGACGTCGTTTTGGAGGGGTTTTTTTTTTTTTTTTTTTTTTTTTTTTTCTTTCTTTCTCTCTTTTTCCCTTTCTTTCTTTCTTATCATCAACACTGGCACTGTGTTGGTATGTTTCTCTCTCTCTCTCTCTCTCTCTCTCTCTCTCTCTCTCGTAATAAAATTTGCAAAGTTGTGTTAATATGGGTTTATTGGGTACTGTTGGTGGAGGTGGAGGACGGATGAAGCGGTAGAAGAAGGACATGAGGTTGGCGGCGCCGAGAAGGAGGAACACGGAGGCGGTGGTGATTCCAGTGGCGGCGATTTGGGGGATAGTGAGGTGAGGGGATTCGTAGATGGCGACGGCGGCGATTGTTAATGGAGAGAGAGAGAGAGGGGAGTAGAGGAGAGAGAAGCTTCAAAGTGTTTGCCTAACCAAGTTGAGTCGAAATCATCTGCTGTTTGGAAGTGAAGAAATTATTTTCAAATCAAAGTTCAGAATAAATAACAGAGAAGAGAAATTTGTGAGTGGTTTTAAGCTAATTTGTGAGTGGGTTTAAGCAAATTTCAAGTCGAGAATAAATCATCTGCTGTTTAGAAATTGGAAGTGAAGAACGATCTGAACTTTGCAGAAAGTGAGAAATTATTCCCTCAAAGGTTAGGTGAGGGTTGTGAAGAGAAATGAGGAGAGACCCAAAAAAATAAAAAACGGCTGTGTTCATGTTCTACTTCAAATTTCCCTTCACCCAGAAAACGAGAGTGATTTATATGATACTTTTTTCTTTATATCTAAGCTAAGAATCAAACTAGGGAGAGAAATTGAGAGTGAAATTCATGTTCTGCTTTGCCTTGTATCTGGGTTCTCAGTTGATGGACAGGAAAGCCATTATCATCAATGGACAAAGAGCACCCCTGGGTTCTGCTGTTTGGTTTTTTTTTTTTTTTTTTTTTTGCTTTTTTTTCTTACCCTTGAAAAGTTGCCCCAAAACGACGTCGTTTTGGGGCGCTACAGGGAACGGTTGCAGACAAGGGCGACCGAGGATCCAGATTCGCCACAACCACCACCACTATTACTACGTCTATCATTATCTCCACCATTAATGCCATTGTCACTAAAGATACCATCATTATTTCTTTTTTTTTTATTCACCTGAAGATAAAAACAGAAAACAGCAGATTACAACACTAAAGTCCTGGGATAGTAGCTTCCCTTCTTGATCCAACATTTATCAAGTCAGTAGTTAACAAAGATAAAATAGAACTAGGTGGATCTTCTACAAAGAGGAGGTGGTCCGGCTGATTCACTCCAAGATCAGCCATAACATCTGCACAGTGGTTTGCTGCCCTGGGAATGGTGGTAATAGTGCATTGACATCGTCTGAGTATGAAGTTTGCGTCTTGAATAAGTGCTTGATATGGTGAATTTTCGCCAGCTCCATCTCGGATGAGTTCTATAGCCATTTGGGAATCAGTTTCAATTTGGATGTTAGCCATTCCTTTCTGCATGATTATGGTGAGCCCTCGATATATACCCCAAAGTTCAGCCTCAAGGCTTGTATAGTTGCCTAAATAACCATAATAGCCCCACACCCAAGTACCTATTTCATCTCGCAGCAGCCCACCAAAACCAGATTGACCAGGATCCCCCTTGGAGCATCCATTTGTGTTGAGTTTAAGCTGACCTGCAAGAGGACAAGACCAGAGCATTAGTTTAGGAACTTTAAAGTTTGGGTGGAGAATAGCTTGAAAAGCTTCCTGTGTTTCCTCGGCTATCCGGAGTATGGTATTAACACTAATGTGAGGATGTTGAGTATGATTCTCAAACACTTCTTTGTTTCTGTCTTTCCAGATGATCCATAAAACTGTCAAAAAAACTGCAGGCCAGTGAGTACTGTTGAGATGTTCCTTGCTTTGAATATTGCTAGTAATCCAGACCTTGAAGTTAGCACTGTTACTATGTTGCCACCAGGTAAAATTCTGCAGATTCAACCAGATGGCCTTAGCTTTTGTACAGCTTCTGAATAAATGTTGCATGTCTTCCTTGGATGAATGACATCTGGGACATAGATT